CCCCGGGGGCTGTACGTGTGGTCGCTGGCGGGACTCTCCCAGTTCTCCCCATGGTCTGATCTGGGGAGGTGGGCGGATCTTCCTGTGTGGGTGCCCCTTGGCGCTCTGCGCTCGGGATTCCTCTCAGGCCCTTGGGCTCTGGTCTTCCCTATGTCTGCCTCGTGTCTTGGGGGTTGGGTCTCCGATCCTCCACAGTCACTATTAAATATTCCATTGGAGAAATCTTGTATATACACGCATGTTCACAACTGCTCACAAACAGGTGTTCTGATCCGGGGGGTTCTGACTGGTCACTGAGTGTGTATATACTGTATGTCTGTGTGTACATATTGACAATATTTATGAATGTAGGCATGTATGTATGAAAGTATATCTTTATACTGTATATGTATGGGTATGTGTCTATTTTTTATATATGCCCTCCATGTATTTATTTTTCAGGTGAGCGGACAGATGTTGGGTGTGTGGTCCTGTGTTTTGTTGGTGTATATTTAACATGCTTCTTATCGCTATTTCAATCTTTCTATCTTTCTAATTACTTCTCTCAAAAAAAAATAAAAAATAAAAAAGAGATCGGTTCCAGTCCAAGACCACTGGGTCCTATCTTTATGGTAACTCTGCTGTTCCAAGAGACCATTAGAGACCATCTGTTTATTTGTATGTGCTGTATGATGTTGTGGAATATAGCTGGCAAATTCTGGTGAGTGTAGGCGTACTGTTTGAGTAGAACTCAAGGTTAGGCTATAGAAACTGCTGGAAATGAATAGAAGTCAATGACGGCCCTAATAATGATGGAATCACAACCGTGTGTGTCTGTGTTAACACAAAGCCAAGATGGAAAGATCTCAGCAGTGATCTTTGAGAAGCAGATGGTGCTGCTCATTAATTAATTTTTCAGGGTTTAAGATAGTGGTGCCCCGATACCAGCATTTTTACAAGTACTTGTACAAAATGTTCCGATATTCTGAACGGATGTGAGTATTGATACTGGGACACTTGTATCAATACTCCTTTAAATGTGTTGGTTACATTTCACATGAAAAGTTTCAGTTCCACGTTTAGGAAATTTATACAAGTTATTTTTATTTTAAAATTATTATTAACAGTATATATCAGACTGTATATTTGTCAGAGGGTAGGAGATTAATAAAATTAATGTGTTTTTATACCTTACCTTGTTGTAATGTTTAAGTTCTAACTCAGCAAGTACTTTGGAAACTGAAGTACTCGTACTCGGTTTGTGTTTTTTGTGGTATCTCGACACTCCTTGTTAAAGATAATTTACAAACAACTTAGTCCATCATTCTAGAGGCAGAAATACAGCGGGTAAAATAAGTATTGAACACGTCACCATTTTTCTCAGTAAATATATTACTAGAGGTGCTAATGACATGAAATTTTCACCAGATGTCGGTAACAACCCAAGTGATCCATATAAAGAAATCAAACCATAAATGTCCAGAAATGAAGTTATTTGTAATGTGGAATGGCAC